CCACAGATGCTTCATCATGTCCGTTTCCTCCCCCATTAGCCTCAGCATTGCCTCCTGCCTCTGCGCTTTGCACTCACTTAATGCTTTCCTGGCCTCTGCCACTGAATGCCTCTATGCATTAATCTGTGCCCTGTCAGTGTGGGAGGACTGCATGAGCTTGGAAAACATGTCATCGTAAGTCAGGTTTTTTTTGCCTTCTAATCTGTGCTAACCTCACGGACAGAGATGAGAGGGGGAGCATAGAAACATTTGCACCTGGGGGGAGATAAAAAGGGAGATTAAAATTTAAGATGATACATTTCTGAGAACAAAAGGGAGACTCTTTCACAGTGAATCAAGCAATTTACAGCAGACAGCACATGTGCTTTAGGTACAAGGTCGCATTTTGCCTTTTATATTGAGCACCTGCCAGTATGGTGATACATCACACACAGCTGGGCAACAGAATTCAGTTTCCAGGCAGCCATAGTAAGCCAAAGGGTACGAGGTGTTGGCTTCTTACGCCTTCATAACATGTGGGAATGGTTTCAAACTGCAGCGCCATCCTTTCCAAGCAATGCCGGTTGGGTTTCACATTTAAAAGGAGGGGCTGTGGTTTTCGGGTGGATGTGCAGCACACACCTCCCCCACCCCAAGCCGTGGCTATTCTCTGGGATGATCCCTTCACCCCTCCCCCGCCACGAGGCTATTCTCCTGGATGATCCCTTTTAGCCAGGCGCAAACAACCCAGCATGAATGGGGTCCTTTTACTGTTCCCTTACAAAAATTACCCTATTTCAACCAGGTGACCATGAATGACATCACTCTCCTGAGGCTAACACAGAAAGATAAAGACCGAATGTTGCTTGAATGCGACCAAAACCCAGGACCATTCGCTGCCATACTTTGTGCTGCAATGATTCAGAATACTTGCGACTGGCTTGGCGTGGTAAAGTGTCCTACTGTGGAGGACGAAATAAGGCAGCCCTCCCCAGAAACCTTCTGCAAAGGCTTTCAGAGTACCTCCAGGAGGGCTTCATGGAGATGTCCCAGGAGGATTCCCGCTCCATCCCCAGACACGTTAACAGACTTTTCGAGTAGCTGTACTGGTCGTGAATGCATCCCAATTGTTCAGGGCAAATCAAACGTTAAACACTATTGCTTTTAAACGCTGTACTGTAGTTACATATGTGCACTCACCAGAGCTGCCTTCTCCGGCTTCAGGGTCGGGGATCCCGCCTTGGGAGGTATTGGCTCCAGGGTGATGAAAAGATCCTGGCTGCCAGGGAGAATGGATTCACCGCTTGCCTGCTGCACATTCTCCTCCTCCTCTTCCTCATCCACAAAATCCTCCTCCTTGTTGTGTGAGATGCCCCCCTTGCAGGTGTCCACGGACAGTGGTGGGGTAGTGGTAGGGTCCCCACCTAGAATGTCATGCACCTGATAATAGAAGTGGCATGTATGGTGCTCTGACCCAGAGCGACTGTTTGCCTCCTTTGTCTTTTCGTAGGCTTGCCTGAGCTCCTTAACTTTCATGTGGCACTACTGTGTGTCCCTGTTGTAGCCTCTCTACACCATGCCCTGTGTGATTTTGGCATATATATTAGCATTTCTTCTTTTTGATCGAAGTTCGGCCTCCACAGATTCTTCTCCCCATACAGCAATCAAATCCAGTGTCTCCCTTTCGGTCCATGCTGGAGCTTGTTTGCGATTCTGTGAGGACTGCATGGTCACTTGTGCTGCTGAACTCGCCACGCTGACCAAACAGGAAAATGAAATTCAAAATTTCCCGGGGCTTTTACTGTGTACCTGGCTAGTGCATCGGAGTTCAAAGTGCTGTCCAGAGCGGTCACATTGGAGCACTCTGGGATAGCTCCCAGAGACCAATACCGTTGAATTGCATCTGCACTACCACAAATTCGACCCAGCAAGGTCGATTTTAGTGCTACTTCCCTCGCTGGGGAGGAGTACAAAAGTTGTTTTTAAGAGCCCTTTAGGTCAATGGAATGGGATTAGTTGTGTAGATGCATTCATTTTAAAATTGACCTAACGCAGCTAAATTCAACCTAACCCTCAGTGTAGACCAGGGCTAAGAATGGACAACTTTTCTTGCATAAGGTACTAAAGTATAGACAGGAGTTTGAGTCGCAACGATGGAAGAAAAGCTACATTTAGAGATATCATAGAAGAAAAAATGATAGGATTTAACAAAGGTTTTGATTTTGTGTGAAGGAAAGAGAGGAATCAAAGAGGACACCAAAGTTCTAACCCTAAGTAATAGGGAGGCTTATCAGTTCCGTATTACAGGCTCTCTATTAATAATCTTTTTTCTGTTTGGGAAACAACGTATGGATCACTCACAAAAGAATTGCTTTGTTATTCAGCAATTGTTTTTTTTTCTCTTTATACCCTCCCAGGACATATGGCTATATCTGGGCAGGTCAGTGTTACTGAGTTTTGCTAGCATTCTCTATATGGGACTTTCCTAAACAGAAGAGGTTTGAATCCATCATATCGAGCCCTGTACAAGAGGGTTTGTATTCAGTCCAGAGACAAGGTGGGTGAGGTAATCTCTCATATTGAACTGACTCCTGTTAGTTAAAGACACAAACTTTCAAGCACCACAGAGCTCTTTTTCAGGTCCAATATTCAGTTCAGACAGTGTCATTCACAGCAGTCCTGTCAGGCAATCAGAAGAGTTCTGAAGGTTTTTCTGAAGCTAAGAACAAACGTGTTGGAAACTTACCAGATTGTCTCCCTACACTGGGCAGTAAGAGGGAACTGGTGGAGGGTCACAGCTGCCCTGCCCTTTATGCCCTCATACAGGAGTGTGAGGAGAATACGGCACGAGTGGCTCCAATCGATGCTATTAAAAAGATTCCAATCTCACACTCACACATATTCACTGATGATTTTAACTTTGTCATTAAATGAAGCAGACTTGTGCAGTAGCTTATAGTCAATTTTAAGACCACAAACACACTTTAAAGTAGGAACTGAGCATTTATTTTAAAAATTTTCTAAGCCTAACAATTGCCAACTTTTTGAGAATTCATTACCTAACAGTGTTTTATTTGGTTGCCTGTGCCTGATTTATATTGTAGACAATTGAAAAATATCGGTAGTAATACCAGACACACTATAAATGGCTATTTGGTCTTTATTTCTACATTTTAAAACAACCATGTACATTGGGCTTTTGCTAGTCATGTAGAGATTGGCATAGCTAAGCTTTTTATTTTAAAAAATCAGATAGTGATCTCATTATGTGGTAAGCTTTATATAAAATGTCTGAACTCATTCACAAAAACTGTTTATCCACTAATTACATAAGCATCTTTTTTTTGTTTGCGTTTATGGGGCGTTATCTCTGTAACATACCAATGCATACCATGTCTCTAAGGCTTCAGCAGCAGTATGTGATTTGCATTACTGCTTGACTAAGGCTTTACACGCCTCTTCAGTTTTTCTTAGGGTGGTGTCCCAAAGGACTCAAGCCAAATTCTCATATGCAATCCTACAGTTAGCCCAAACAGAAACACATTGTACATGATGTGTGTCTGTGTAGGTGTGGGAGGGATGGGGCCTTAAGAACCGTATGTGAAGGGAGGGATGTAATTTCATGTGAAGTTCGTGAAATAATTAGAGAAACACGGAACATGTTTGGTAACTACATGACTACTGTTTGTTTCACTCTAAATGATCTGCAAACTCTCTGGGGTAGCTTACTCTGGTAGGTAAAATACTGCCATAAAGTAGAAATAAAAAATAGAAATGAAAGACCCATTTTCAACATGGTAAAAGGTTAAAGTAGGGTGACATGAGGCTCTGTACAAGGACTGGAGTTCAATATATTTTTAAATTATCTTCGTAAAATGGGTGAAAAGTGATATTGCAGAATTTACAGGTGGCACAATTCTAGAGTTTAGTCAAGCCCGCAGAATACTATGAGCAACGTCAGAGGGACCTAACAAAGCTAGGTAGATGGGCAGCACCAGATCAGATGAAAATTTGGTTGTTGACAAAATGCAAGATAGTGGAAAAAAAAAAAAAGAGAGAGAAAGACAAGTGTCAGCATGGACAGTTCAATGTGCTCTACAGCAGTGGTTCTCAGCCAGGGCTGCGCGTACCCCTGGGGGTACACAGAACTCTTCCAAGGAGTACATAAACTCATCTAGATATTTGCTTAACTATACAACAGGCTACATAAAACGTACTAGTGAAGTCAGTACAAATTAAAATTTCATACACAGTGACTTGTTTATACACTATACACTGAAATGTAAGTATGTTTATATTCCAATTGATTTATTTTATAATTATATGGTAAAAATGAGAAAGTAAGCAATTTTTCTGTAATAGTGTAGCTGTGACACTTTTTTGTATTTTTATGTCTGATTTGAAAGCAAGTAATTTTTAAGGGAGGTGAAACTTGGGGTACATAAGAGAAAAATCAGACTCCTGAAAGGGATACAGTAGTCTGGAAAGGTTGAGAGCCACTGCTCTACAGCAACTGTCAAAAGAAAATACATTAGGATGCATAAAGAAAGAACAATACTGAGAACATAACACCATTACATCAAGCTTATAGTTCTCCTTACTTGGAATACTGTGTTCAGTTTTAGTTACCCTACCTCAAAACAACATGGCAGAAACAGAAATTCAGACATGCGTGATGAATATGATTAGATCATGGCAGGATTTTGTATGGATGAGGAATTGAAAGACCAGAACTGCTTCATTTAGAGAGAACACAAATGACAGGTGATATAATGGAAGTGTACAATACAATCAAATAGCCCAGAAAAGATAAACTGAATGCTCCTATTTATCCTTTTTCACAATCCAGGAACAAGTGGGATGTTCAGTGAAATTGGGAAGCAACAAATTCAAAACTGACACCTGCAAATACTAAAAAAAACCCCAAACACCTGACAACATAACTTAAGACAGACTCATTCCTAAACAATATTGAGATGGCTGAGCTGAACAATATTTAGAAAACAATCAGACACACAAAGTGGGTGAGAGAATCTTTTATTGGACCAACTTCTGTTAAGGAGAGACACAAGCTTTTGAGCTTACATGGAGCTCTTCTTCAGGTCACTGTATACAAAAAAGGGATTAGACATTTATATAGTACAAGTAAATGTCCAGCATTAGAGTTATGTTTACGAAAGGCTATAAACCCTCATACTTCAGGCCATATGTAACAGAGATTAAGGAGAAACTTTTCTGAAGGTCAGGTTCGACCACAATTGTCTACTGTGAGGTTTCTTGCACTCATCTTTGATGCATCTGTTAGTTGATACTGTCAGATACAGGTTACTGAATGAAATGGACAAAAGTGATGGCAATTTCTCTTGTTGTTCTGATTAATTTATCATATTAGTCGTCATTCTTACAGCTTGGCATGGCTACGGCCCTTGCTTTAAGTTAACTTCTTTGTATTCTAACTTATTTCTATCAACCTCATAGGTCTTATGTGCCTTCCAGTGAACTTACTATTTAAAGGCTTGTCTTCATGGGAAATTATACCAGTATAATTATATTGGTAGCATGGCTGTAAATTTCCTCATGTAGACAAGTCCTCTTCTCAGGCAAAATCTCACACAAAAAGGCTTGGGAAGGAAAAATGGCAGAGTTTCTGCCTATTTTTCTGTTGAGTAATAAGTTTGACCACCCTGTGGACTAAGTAGATCTGCTGAGATCTACATGGAGGCAAAAGCCATATGCATGGAGGCCCTCTGACTCCACAGCAGCTCTGAAAGTCTTTTGACCCTCCCTCCGACTTCTTGGCAGCGCAGCAGCAAATGAACCTTGTGACAGATTCCCCTTGAAAAGCTACTTCCCAACAGGAGGGATATAGCCCCACGTTATATTAACTTTCATGTGAGATCCCTGCAGCATGGGCAGGAGGATGTGCATTCCCAAGCACTTCCCTAGCTCTTATGATTTCTCAGACCTGCAGAGGGCTTTCTTCAGGACTGGGGACACAGGGGAACAGTGCAGCTTATGGTTCCCATCCTTCCATGAGGGAGACCTAGGTGCAGAGTCCCCTCTGCATGAAGGTAAATGGCATGATCTGGTACGTCTAGACAAACAGCAACAAGGGATAAAAAGTAGGTGATAATACAATGGACAAGTGCTATGGTTTTTATTTTTTTAAATATATATATTTTCTAAAAAACTAAGAGTTGGACTCCATTGCTCTATATTATCTAAAACTTGGATCCTTTATCTTTTTAATAGTATAAAATAAAACATTCGATTCCTGGCATTAAAACCATGTTGGAGAGCCAACAATCAATGTGCTTAGTTAGCACAGAACCAGTAAACTTTCCCAAGCACCAGTCTGAGTCCTGATACAGTAAATAATCAGTTAGCTTTTCATGTGATAAGGGACAGTAAAATGGTGTGCAACTTGAGTTTTTCAGCAATATAAATCTGCACAAGCTATACACCTGTTTGTCTTTGAGTCCCTGACACCAGCATCACATACTCTCATGTGTATACAGCTCTACTACTGCAATTCTTTCTTAACTTGGCTTCAGCACCAGTTATAACTTGTTCTGAATATAGGCAATTAAGTTCACCCTGTTTCATTTTCACATAGGCTGGCTATGAAGTGACACCACTTTAAACTGGCAGTGCTGTCTTTCAGCCTTATGCTGATGGGTATTTATGCTCAGACTCTACCTGTTCTTTTAATGATCCCATTTTTATGCCTCAGGTCAGGCGTAGTCTATTTTTGTCAAGGTCCAAATTTCTTGGTCAAGATATAGTCAAGGTCCCAATGCCAGATAACAATAATAATAAAAGTAAGTAAATAAAAAGATTTTGGGGGCCCAATTAAAAGTGTTTGGCGGTCTGGATTTGGCTCGTGGTCTCCCTATTAATTACCCCTGCTTTAGGTTATAGGCAATTCCACGCTGCAAATTTAAAACCACAAAAACCAGCATAGACTACACATTGCATGTAGGTAACTTAAATTATGGCCTTCACTAGAAGTAAGACTTGAGATGAAAAGGCTGAGCCTGGTAACCAAATACTTTTTGACGACAGGTTAGAGCTGAATTGTGAAGGTGGTGTTACAATCAGTACAGTTGGAATAGTTCCTATAAACGGTTTTTAGTAAAATAAAATTTTGGTAACAAGCATAAATAGCAAACAGCATTCTATGTAATAGTTATTAGGAATGCACAGTATCTGCATTTTAAACATTCTTTAACATTTTTACTTTAAAAGATAGAAACAAGTCCATCCAACAGCTTTAAGTTAGCAAAATTTGAAAGAACATAAAAACCATCAGCAACATATGGGTAATTAAAGGGTCTCCTTTTCTCATGAAGAACCTCAATTTCTACATTTCTGACAGCCTTTTCTTCATTTCCCCATACTGGTTTTCAACTACATAGTTTATGCAAACATTCGCTTAATGTTTACAGACCCACTGTTCTCTATAAATGTTGAAAACCATTCTAGATCCTCAGTTGGTATCAGGCAGCATTGCTCCACTGAAGTCAAGCTGAGACTTCAGTCCCAAATGTTCAGAGACACATTAGTTTGATAAAATTTATTTATCCAATGAAAGTACAATTGGTCAGGGCAACTTTGTAGTTTGGTTTTGTATGCAGCTCTTCTCTTCGTGATTATTAATCATGACCTTCAGATTACTGAGTTGCTTCTCTCAACCTTCAACAATTCAATTTGCTAAAGCTATTTGCTTTTGGATAAAATTCTGCATACCAAATTTCAATACTGTGTGAAGTTTTATAATAAACTAAATGGCATTTCATCAGAATAATGACAAATTCTTATGCAGAGTGACACTAGATACTAACTCTAATGAGAAGAAGGAACAAAAAAGTCTTTGCATAAATAAAGTCACATTTGCAAAATGTCTTATTCAGATAGTATGTTCAGTTGGACAACCAAAGGATATAAAAGCAAGCAAACAAGCCAATTGTTTTTGTCACTTGCAGTATCTATCAGCTTTCAATTTTGCTCGCCTATATGAAAGAGAAGACAGACAAAATTTAGGTTACACAAAAGCCACATACATTTGAACAGTGTGATAGTTACAAGACATACGAGGAGGCTGTTATAACATTTGCTTCTACTTAACTTTGGAACATTGGCAAATGACATTAGAGGCCTGTTAGTACTTCTGAATTGTTTGTTGGCTTTGTTACTTTGTACAGCTAGTATTTGCTCTTGCATTAGAGCCGTGAGGAATATGCCCACTGGTCGCACATGCAACCTTAAAATTTTGGAGTTTTCTGGTTTCTGAATCACGAAGCCTTAATCTTTTACTGTTTTTTTTAATAGAATTTTTTTAAAGACAGGGAATGTAAACAAAAATGATTCCATAGTCAAAAACTTTTGGCTGGACCATCTCTGGCATGCCACATCACACTTAACAAGGAAAGGCTTCATTGGCATACACAGCGAACATCACAGAAAACATTACGCCAGGTTCATAAAATTTTCAGTTGCACAAGTCAGTGCAATGGGGCAGGGCTCCTATGGAACCCTAATGCCTTAAATCGACGTAACAATTGTACAGTAGTGGCATCAGCTCTTCTCAATGTTTTTTGCAGCTGAGTTAATTACTTATAGGTATACAGTACAGCTTTCCTTTGCTTAGAAAGCTGGTAAGTAGTGCTTGGAATATTCTGCATTCCCCAAATACTGTACCTGTACAAAGTGCTATTCTCACACCCTCATAGCTTGGTCAAACCAAGAGTAGTTTTCACTAAACAATGTGAAAAGAATCCTTAATAATGGCTATTTCCCTACAAAAATGCAACTTTCTATCCTTGTTTTGGTGTCAGGGTTGTTGAAAAAAATAAATGTAAGAATTTTGCTTTTATAATACAGTATTATTGTTCTCCACTCTCCTTGTACTCAATTGACTAAACGAGTTTTGCTCAAGCTTTCCATAAAAGTTTTCTTTCAGGTAGAAACCAGGCAGGCTTGAAAAAGGCGAGTTTCAAAAATATACAGGCAGCAGAAAATGGACTATGGTGAGAACATTTAGGCAATCTTAACTCTAGTTGTCTTTAGCATTCCAGGTATATCACAGATTTATCTGTCAATAGCTTTCATTTAATTAACAGCTGGAATTATTTGGATTTTAAAATACCTGTCCAGCAACGTCTCATGGAAAGTGCCTTCTTTTCTAGCTTTTTTGAGAGCTTTACTGTCTTCTTGGCTTATTTTGAGTTTACGATCTTGGAAACTTTGGAACTTCTTTCTGCAACCAATAAAGAGGGTGAAAATAGCTCCAGTTCTATTGGAACTTTATATAATAAAATGCAATAGTTGTGCAAGGATTTCAAAGTTCAATTCCTGGGCTAGATTCGTGGCCTAAAAGTAGAATAAGATGCAAGAGAATCGGTAATGGTCTCACATGTTACACTGAGTGTTGTGGGTACAACCTATTCAGACAGTCTGTGTTCCGAGATCATGGGTGGCGGGTACAATAGGCCAGGGGTGTTGCTGCCACACCTGCCGGACCCCTGGTTGCGGGGTTTGGTGGTGAAGTTTTTGCTTTATTATGCCCCATGCAGGTGCCAGGGCGGCTGAGGTGGTGGTATGGCCTCCTCGGCTGCCCCAGAACCTGCATGGGGCATATCGAAACAGTCTTCTAACAGATGCTTTTCCCCTGGGCGGGCTGGGCCTGGGAAGGGAAGGCATGGTGCGGCTTTGGCCAGCCCCAAGCTCCTCCGGGCAGGGCGGGGGGGGGGGGGGAAGATAGACGAGCCTCCCCGCCTTTGAGAGGGAAGACTGTCATTCAGCAGGAACCTCTTTGGGTTGTTAATGTGCAGTGCTGACAGGACTCTGAAGAGAATTTCATTTGACTAGAAGGATGGTGGGTCAGGATTGTTTTAAACAAGGGGAGATGGGAATCCTTTGTGCTCAGATACGGAAATGGATAGTTTATTTTAGATGTAGAAGGCTGGCAGCTAAATAGCTTTCAATTACATACACATAATTGATTTCACATTGTTTAACATTTCCTTTGTCTTCTTCTGGAATGTCATCTTTCTGCTTAGCTTCTCTTTCAGCACAAGTACGGATCTAGTTATTAGGGGAAAATAGAAAATATACATTATACGAACTACAATTGATAGTAAGAAAAAACTAAACACATTCTAACTTCTCCTGGCACTCAGGATATGAAAAGCGTTGAATTTTTGAGTAGGTCTTTTCAGTTTAACAGCTTCTTAGGATATGACAAAGATCTCTTAACAAAAAAGTTGATTCTATTCTATTCTGGTTTTATAAAGCCTTTGCTCCTACCTTGAAATTGTATATATAAAACATACAAACACTAAACAACATTTCACATATTTCTTGAATATACAAACAAAATATATTCTGAATCTACAGTAATAAACACTACATTTAAGGGATTAGCCACGATTCATGTTGTGACTGGTTCCCCCAGGGTGCCACTTAGAACTGGGTTCCCTTTACACTGTGCTGCTGTGACAGACTCTCATGCTCCCTTCCAGGATACCCACTTTGCCCAGCACTCAAGTGCACACCCCCCTTTGGAGTGTAAGCCCAAAATTGTCTTGTGCTGCACAGAGAACTGCACAGTATAAGCTCATGAAATTCGCTCCCTCCCTCAATGTGGAGGAAGATATGCACAGCTTTTTGGCCCCGTTATGAATTCCACAAACTGGTTTTTAGAGAAAACAAAAACAAAATTTATTAGCTACAGAAGATAGATTTTAAGTGATTATAAGGGACAGTGAACAGATCAAAGCAGATTACTGAGTAAATAAAACAAACTCGCAAACTAAGCTTAAGGTACTAAAGAAACTAAATGTTGTTTTAAGCAGATTGCAGAGGTTCTTGAAAGCAAGCTGCTTTTGCTTGCAGCTTAAAACTCCAGGAATTTCTTTCACAGACTAGACATCCTTCCAACCTGGGCTCAGCTCCTCCTCCCCACTCCCCAAGTCTTTGTTTCTAAGGCCTTGTCTACACTGCCACTTTACAGCACTGCAACTTTCTCACTCAGGGGTGTGAAAAAACACCCCCGAGAGCTACATGTTTCAGCACTGTAAAGTGGCAGCATAGACAGTGCACCAAAGCTGGTAGTTGCGCTCCCAGTGCTGGTAGCTACTCCCCTCATGGGGGTGGTTTTTTTACAATGGTGGGAGAGCTCTCTCCCAGCGCTGGTGCCACGATTACACAGCCACGTTAAAGCGCTGCCGTACGTTGCTAATAAAGACATACCCTTAGATGTTTCTAGCAGTCATTCTGGGCAGGGATTCAGTGAAGAATGAACCACAATTATGTCACTCTCCTGCCTTAAATAGGTTTTACATATGGTGGGAATCCTTTGTCTTCCAGTGATTCCCACTCCTGGCCAGTGGAAAAGTACTGATTTTATCATAGAGTCAGGTGACTTGATCACATGACCCTGCAGCCATAACTTAAAAGTCTATTTGCAGAGTCCACAGGAAGGCTTTCCAGGAAGGTGGGATATCTTCAAAGACCTACTGTTTTTCCAAATGGCCCTTTCCAGCCAGCAACTAGACCGACTGCATTGTTTAGTGCGTGTTCCCCAGGTGTAAACACATTTGTAATAGGTGTATAGACAATATTCCTAACTTCAGATACAAAAATGTATATGAATACAAATATGATAATCATATTCAGTAAATCATAACCTTTCCAATGGTATCTCACATGACTCATCTTGCATAAAATACATCTTAATTATGCCATTATCATAACAGTATTTCTATGAATTATATGGGGCGTGGTGTCACACATGTTCTGAAACAGTTAATGCTTTGCTATATATGCAATTAAAACATCATCATCTGTACTTGGCAAGATGAAAGAGGACTTGGAGACTCCTATTTAAATTGTACAATCTTACAAGACTGAGTTCTTAGCATATTTTATATACCAAGTTTTAGATTAAGTTTATGGGATTTTAGAAACTAGAAATCAAGACAAGAATTTTTTTTTTTTATTCCTTTAATGTCCAGGAGTGACAATATATTGCATTTCTAATTTAACTGATGTTGAATTATAGATGGAGCTTAAGTGCTTTTCTATTAGAAACTGTGATAGTCTTGTTTGTACAAACCAGGGACATCTAGTACTTGCACCTGACATTGCCAAGGAAAACCCAAGTTGCTGTCAGTTACTGGCAAGGAGGAGGTGGTACACTTCTGAGCAAGTGTTGAACAAATAATCTAGCATACTATTAGAGAGCAGTTGGCTGTCAGAACTACAATCTGATTTGTTCAGACCGAAAAAGACAGTGACCACTTGTGGTCAGAGATCTTGTGGCATTTGCACAAGAGTAAGGAGTTTGCAATCCTGGTTACTTGGCATAAGCCAGTTTTGTTGAGTATTCTGCCTACCTGCAATTTCCAATGAGTATAACTCTCTTCCCGTCTTAAATCGTTAGGCAGCAGATTTGTTGAAAAGCTGCCCCATATGACCTTGGAGAGGTCCATAATTCAGTGATGAATGAAGATGCTCCTTAATATGAAGTTTGTAAAGTGAATTAGAAAAATTCATGATGAAAGGTATTATGTAAACTTACGATGTTAGAATGTTTGTTCCATAAATATTATGGATAGTACATAGGTTTTGCATTTTCCACTATAGCATTCAAGCTGATAATTATAGAGAATATATCACACACACAAATTACCTTTATCATTTCTTCTTCCCCTGCAGTTTTACTTTTGGCTTCTATATCTCCCTCTTCATTACAGGTGATAAAACAGCTATTTGCTGCTAATAAAGCCATTTTCCCCTGTTAAAATACCACCATTTAAGTTAGTACTGTTAACAAATTTTAGACATGCCTTAAAATTATAAGAATTCTAGAATACTCCAGAAGACACCACAGATGTCTAAGGAATTCTTAGTAGCCACCCTTGGCAATCTGCTCTCTCTTTTACTCTTACATTGTATATTGCTGCCAAAACCAGAAAAACATTTTGATTTAAAGTCTTTAAAAATACAGTAATGTACCCAACTGCAACTTACAAATTAACTATTCTTTATAATTTTGCAATACCTGTCATATCATTGTTTTACCACTTGCATGGAAGAGTATCCCATTAGCACTATTAATGTTAAGTTTAAAACAACAATTTTTACCAAAAACATCACCTGCAGTTAATATTAGAGATGGCTTACATCTTGGAAGACAGGTTCCCATTGCTCTCTCGATCCTATTGCATCTGATCGTCCAATAACAAGACCATCTGAATTTATGCCAAGGTATTTGCCATAGCCAGACTTCAGTGCAATTCTTAGAGAAATGAGGAAAAAAGATAGTGTTTTAACTTTAAAACATTCTGTAAAATATTCAATATATCAAAGAGGTCCAGTATTTTGGTTTTAGCTATACTTTTAAGAGCTAGATGTTACAATAAAGGAGATTTTAAGGGAGGGATAATTAGCTTTGATTCAGGGTAAGAGATCACATATAGCAGTCTAAATGAGACCTTATGGACATTCTTGAAGTAAAACCTGCACAACATCAAATTTTTCAAAAATCCACTGGAGAAATTACCTGGTATCAGACAACTTTACTGCTGTAAACTGCTCAGGAGGACTAGGGCCATCATCCTCTGAAAGACATTTTTTTTGAAAATTATTATTAGGTATAAAGCATTAGATATACAATTTTTGAATTTATGAGACTAAGTTTAAATAAAGAGGATAGATTATACAAGAATGATCAGTATACAATACAGGAAAAGGCTATAATGCGGGGCCAGATATTGACATAAATTTTCAGAAGAGTATCCAAACACTGTAAAAGCAAAGAAGAGTTTTATAGGAGTTATCTAAGCACTTACAGTATATGGTTAGCATTCTACAAGACACAAATAAAGACAATCCCTGCCCCCAACAAATTTAGGATTGAGAATTTATAACTATTCATGGAAAATGTGAATCTAAATCCACTGAATTGCTTTGTGAATCTCAGCCTATGCATTATATAAGCTTCTCCTAAGAAAATGTACTTGCACTGTTTTACTTGAGCGCATGACTAGAATTCAGTATTTTAAAAGCCACCATCACTTTTGCAACAGCGGGAATGATATACTGCCACCATTCCTGGACTGGCCATTACCTTACTCTGGGGTTGAAATACATCCAAATTCACTCTGCTTCCAGAACAGGGATTCCCTACTTGAGCAGTACCTCTCTCACTCCCAGAGTGAGGGAAAGACCAGCTACCAGGCCACCTCCAGAGAACATCTACATAACAATTACAGGTATAGGAGGGTTAGTCAGCACCCTTTGACGTGGAGTGGGAGTTGTTGGTTGGTAAATGATGGTCCTGGTCTGACTTTAGTTTCTCTTTTTATAAGACAAAAAGAGAAACTAAAGTTAGACCAGGACCCTCATTCTGGTTTTGCATGGTTACTTACAAGAGCGATAGTGCTTTCCACCTTGTTAAAGGCCTAAACATACAGGTGAGCATCAGGAAAGGAACTGAATTACATGTTGTCATAAATATAAAGGGAAGCGTAAACACCTTTAAATCCCTCCTGGCCAGAGGAAAAACCCTTTCACCTGTAAAGGGTTAAGATGCTAAAGTTAACCTCGCTGGCATCTGACCAAAATGACCAATGAGAAGACAAGATACTTTCAAAGCTGGCGGGGGGAACAAAGGGTCCTCTCTGTCTGTGTGATGCTTTTGCTGGGACCAGAGCAGGAATGCAGGTCAGAACTCCTGTAAAGAGTTAGCAAGCAATCTAGTTAGATATGCGTTAGATTCTGTTTTGTTTAAATGGCTGATAAAATAAGCTGTGCTGAATGGAATATATATTCCTGTTTTTGTGTCTTTTTGTAACTTAAAAAGTTTTGCCTAGAGGGATTCTCTATGTTTTGAATCTGATTACCCTGTAAGGTATTTACCATCCTGATTTTACAGAGGTGATTCTTTTACTTTTTCTTTAATTAAAATTCTTCTTTTAAGAACCTGATTGCTGTTTCATTGTTCTTAAGATTCAAGGGTTTGGGTCTGTGTTCACCTATGCAAATTGGTGAGGATTTTTATCAAGCCTTCCCCAGGAAAGGGGGTGTAGTGCTTGCGGGGATATTTTTTGGGGGGGTGAGGGGGGAGAAAGACGTTTCCAAGTGGGCACTTCCCCTGTTATTTTTGTTAGACGCTTTGGTGGTGGCAGCATAAAGGTTCAAGGACAAAAAGGTAAAAGTGTGTACCTTGGCGAAGTTTTAACCTAAGCTGGTAAGAATAAGCTTAGGGGGTCTTTCATGCAGGTCCCCACATCTGTACCCTAGAGTTCAGAGTGTGGAAGGAAACTTGACATGGTGGCAGAGCAGTGGGATTTATTTGAAATCATTTTGAGATTTTTTTTGAACCAAAAACACAGAAGAATTTTAAAAGATTTTAAAGGGTTTTGTAAAAGGGGACAAAGCAACAAGCATAACAAAAGGGAGCTTGCTTTTGTGAGCTGCAGTTTTCTCTATCTAAAGGCAGGGTAGTTAACCTCCTGCAAGGAAATTCACAAGTTCTTCACAGACCTGAAGAGGTCGGGTTTTTTGGTTTTTTTTAGCTAAGAGCAATTAGAGGGTTTTTCTGTCTATTTGTCTGGAGACAAAGGATTTTTCTGTCGGCTGAGAAAACTATCAGAGAACATCGGTATCAGGTTACAGCACAACCTATATTTTTGACAAGCCCAGTGTTTTTGTTTGTTTGATTTCTAACTCTCGGGTGTAAAGTTAGTTAAAAACAGAGAGGCAAACATGACAGAAACCAAGGCAGAAAAAAACAAAGAGGCTGCCCAAAGGAGAGAACTGGAGGCAGCGAAAGAGGCAGAAAAAAAACGAGAGGCTGCCCGCAGCAGAGCTACGGAGACAAAGGAAAAAGAACTGGAGGAGAAGGAAAAAGAGAGGAAGCATGCACTGGAGATGGAGAAGACAAAGGCTCAGCAGAATAGCAATCTTTCTCCAGGTACCGCTTCTCATCCCAGGAAGTTCCCCACGTACAAGGCAGGCGATGATACCGAGGCCTTCTTAAAACACTTCGAAAGGGCCTGCCTTGGGTACAACATCTCTACTGACCAATACATGGTAGAGCTGAGGCCGCAACTCAGTGGACCCTTAGCCGAGGTGGCAGCTGAAATGCCTAAGGAACACATGAACAAGTATGAACTGTTTAAAACCCAGGCGAGAGTCAGAATGGGGCTAACACCCGAGCATTCCTGTCGGGGGTTCAGAGCCCTAAGGTGGAAACCAGACATGTCATTTACTCGACATGGCTACCACATTGTGAAACATTGGGATGCCTGGATATCAGGAGCAAGCGTTAACTCTCCAGAAGAGTTGCCCTTCCTAATGCAAATGGAGCAGTTCTTAGAGGGTGTTCCTGAGGAAATAAAAAGATACATCCTAGATGGAAAGCCCACAACTGTAATCGAGGCAGGAGAGATTAGAGCCAAATGGGTGGAGGTGGCAGAAAAGAAAAAAACTAGTAGCAGTTAGGGCAAATATCAGAAGGGGCAAACCGGAACAAAATGTTTGGAGGGAGGAGAGAGGAACAATCCTGGTTGCAGTTGAAGCGGATACCAGAAGGGACAACCTCAGACCACACCCTACTACTGGGGGCAGCTCAAGGCCCCAACTACACCCCGAGGAACACTCCAGACACCTTATCGTCCTGCCACACCGTTCTCCAGCAACCCACCTCGCCCCAGTGACCCGTCAGCTGGACGATGTTTTAAATGTAATGAGCCGGGGCATGTAAAGGCCAACTGCCCCAAGAACCCCAACAGATTACAGTTCATTGCACCGGAATCACACCAGAGGTCCTCAGGTCCAGATACCCTCGGATTGGAGGGAAACTGTGAGTGTGGGCGGGAAGAAGGTCACAGCGTGGAAGGACACCGGAGCACAAGTGTCGGCTATCCATACTTCCTCAGTGGATCCCAATTTAATCGACCCAGAGATCCAAGTGACAATTCAACCCTTCAAGTCCAACTCTTTCAATTAGCCTACATCCAAGTTGCCTGTCCAGTACAAGGGCTGGTCAGGAACGTAGACTTTTGATGATTATCCCATCCCCATGCTGCTGGGAGAAGACTTGGCCAATCATGTGAAGCTAGCCAAGAGGGTGGGAATGGTCACCCGCAGCCAGGCTAAGCAAGCCGTCACGCCTAGCTCTGTTCCGGAAACTTCTACCAGTACCCAGTCAGAGGTGATGGAACCGGACCCCATGTCAACGTCTGCAACAGCAGTAGTGGATCCAGTCCCAGAGACCCAGACAGAGCCAGACCCAGAGCCGAAACTTGCGGAACAACCAGCACCAGACCCCGTGCCAGCACTGAATCCAGTACTTGCAACCCCAACACCAAAGGGCCCCACCGAATCTGCACCGGCAGCAGCCGATAACCCTACACAAGAGGCTCAACCGGAGCCTGAAACCCAACGTAGTGCACCAGCAGAAAGCGGTTCACAGTCAAGCGGAAACAGCCCCATCCCCTACATCGCTTCCAGGGGGACAAAGCCTAGGTCCACAATCCAACGAGGAACTGATGTCTTCAGCATCAAGGGAACAGTTCCAGACGGAACAGGAAGCAGATGAAAGCCCCCAGAGAGCTTGGACGGTGGCATGGAGCAACCCACCACCTCTCAGCTCTTCTACTCAATCCAGGTTTTATTGTAGAAAAAGGACTTTTATACAAGGAAATTGAGCATCAGGAAAGGAACTGAATTGCATGTATAAAGAAAACATCAAGACTGGCTTAGAAAAATTAATTAGTGGTCAGTCATTAGGATTCAGTTATCCTCTTGGCTGTGCCATACAGCCATATAGGATGATATTTTGTATTATGTATATTAACTAGCATCACTATAAAAAAATCTTTAGGTTATTGTCTTCAACAAAAACTCTCCACTTAGCAAAATATGTTTCATACCTCGACACTGCAAATTTTTTCTTTTCCTGATACAAACCTTTATGTGGTGCTCCAAGTGTAAAAAGGCCATTGTCAAGAGCGTGGATATAGGCTCCCTTGTCCAGTTCTATTGCTACAGTTCCTGTGATTTCACCAAAATTTTTTACTGCCCACCAGCTTCCTAAAATATAAGAAAATGAAATAACATAGCACACTTACAACTGGATTTTAGCCAAATACTATTATTATTTGAATTAACACAGCACGTAGGAGCCCTATCATGGATCAGAACCCCATCAGACTATGTGTTGTACAGAACAAAATGACGGTCCCTGCCTCAAAGAACTTGCAACTGACAACAGATGGATACAGACAGACAGGGGAGTACAAGGAACCAAGACAGTATTCATTAGCAGGATAGGCAGTGGTGTCAGCATACCAGCAACTTAACTGTCTTCAGTCTTTTTGAAGGTGTCACGGCAGAGGAAAGGGTTTGGAGGATAACGATGTTTGTGGGAAATGCTCTTAAGCATGAGGGACAGCACGGGAGAAAGCATTAGGGTGCTTATTTGAAAATTTAATAAGTGGGTGATAGAGGTTGGCATCAATGGCAGATCAGAGGTGTGAATCAACATCTCAACTGTGAATGAGAAATTATAGGTAGAGTTGGGATACACTGTGCAGCGTTTTGAAAGTGAAGAGAAGCAGCTTATATTTGATATGCTAGAGATGGGAGAGCCAGTGGAGTGTTGCAAAGAGAAAGATGATATGGTCAAACTAACAGGCTAGGAATATGATCTTTGCAGCAGCATTCTGAATGGATATGAATGGGACAAGATTTCATTTGTTACAGATGTTAAAAAGAGAAAAGGATGTTCCAGTGATCAAGATGCAGCGATAGCTGCATGGATGGATAGGAAAGGCTATATCAGGGATAGGCAACCTAAGGCACAAAGGCAGCACGCGAGCTGATTTTCAGTGGCACTCACACTGCCAGAGTCCTGGCCACCAGTCCGGGGGGGCTCTGCATTTTAATTTAATTCTAAATGAAGCTTCTTAAACATTTTAAAAACCTTATTTACTTTACATACAACAATAGTTTAGTTATATATTATAGACTTATAGAAAGAGACCTTCTAAAAACATTAAAACGTATTACTGGCACGTGAAACCTTAAGTTAAGAGTGAATAAATGAAGACTCAGCACACTACTTCTGAAACATTGTCTATGGGCTATATCTTAGAGAATTTTCCCAGAAAGAATCTGCAAGATAGCTTAAATATGAGGATCTAGAGAGAGGTTTGAGTTGAAGATGATGCCCAGGTTATGTGCCTGAGTGAAAAAGGAAGCAGTGCCAAAAGGGCATTGAGGGAAGATTAAGAGCTGTTTTAGCCATGTTGAGCTTCAGCTGATGGCTAGACATCCACGAGGAGATGCAGATTTTGGTCTGGGTAGGAAATAGATCTTATCTAGTAATATGTAGTAGCATGATAAGCTCCTACTGTTTAGGTAGTTTGCTGTGAAGCCTTGATTGATAATTATATTTAGGCTTATTTTGCTCTTGCAGTAAAACAATCTACAAGTATTCCAGAAGTTGAACAAAAGTGTTCTGCATCATTCACTTTAAAGCGAATAAATGACAAACACCAAATACCCTTTTTGACGTATGATGTGACACACTGCAATTAGAAGTTAGACTTAGCTGTTGGAAAGATTATTTGTAGCCTTAAACTTAGAATGGCCTTTTCCTCTTTTTTGGAAGCAGCCAAGAGAGCATAGTGTGTGTAGAGAAACAGAGGCTATTGGACATCAGACCTCCCTTCTACCCCATATAAAAAAAGATTTCTGTACAGATTTTTTAAACAGTCATTTATGTATTTTTCTTGACTACAAGGACTATGATTTATAGGTTTGCAGACATGTACAAATAGTCAATGCAAAAGTGTTTTGTATTCATGCCAGAAGCCCAAACAAGAAAACAAAACAAACACCCTAACTTTTCCTGTCTTTATCTTTACTTCTATACTGGTGTGCACATCCTTGAAAGCCCACTCACCAACAATATCAAGCTGATCTTCTGCATTTTCTTCTCTTTTTCTTTTCTTATCTCTGTGCTTTTTCTTACTGCAAAGAGAGACAATGGCAAAAACGGCTAAATAATAAGCCTTCCCTAACTAACCGTGTGTCTCTGGATCACCACCACTAATACACAGTAACACGGGAGGAGGAGAGAGGGGCAGGTCACCAGGACAAACCTCCGCTCTGACAGGGCAGCCCTGGGCTCTGCAGACCGAGCTGTCAGCAGGCTCACGTTGTACCCATCTCAGAAGTCGGTTTTTAAACCGCTTTACTCAAAACCAGGCACGACCCCGTGTGGACGCTCTTGCTGGGGTTTAGTTCACACCTGACCCCAGTCAGTCGAAGCTACAGCGAGCCAGGGCCGCTTTACCCCGGAACGAGCGCGGCCACGCGGGGGCGGGGGATAGGGCGCGCGGTGACTTCACGGCTGGGGAGCGAGCCCCGAGCAGGGCCCCCGCCCGGGAGCAGCAGACAGAGACGGACCGGCCTGTCCATGCCGGGGAGCGGGGCTCATCGCGGCGCGTGGGCGACCAATGGGGGGGGTGGGGCGGAACGTCCCGGCCACTTCGCACCTTTTCTTCTTCGCCCCCTTGAGAACGAGCTTGGTGGATTTCACGCAGGTATATTCCGCCATTGCTGAACAACAGAGGCCGCCGCCGCGTAGCGGCACGGACACAACGTCCACGCCTTCCCGCAACTCCAACGGGGGCCGCTGAGGGACAAATGGGAACGGCCGGCCGTTAGGCAACGCGTGCGAGTGGTGTGCACATGCGCAGTGGGAAAGCGAAGCCCCTGCTCTCACCCGGCTGTTCCCGCCCCCTTCGGGCGGGTGTTGTGAGTTTGCAATTAGATACCCAGGGCGGGACCACGCCAGCCGCCTGCGGTGCTTGGGGCTCTGACTAAGGCACTGTTTAATTACCATGTAGACGTTTGGGCTTGGGCCCCTTCCACCTTGCAGGGTGTTAGACCTAATGTCCACACCACAATTAAACAACCGTGTGAGCCCGAGCCTCACGAGCCCAACTCAGCTGGCGTGGGCCAACCAGGGGTTTTTAATTGCAGCGTAGACATACTCGTAGTCTATGTCTACACTAGAACTTCCTTCATCAGTGTGTAGAGTATGTGTAACTAGACTGCACAGTGAAAAGCAGCCTGTGTCCACACTACGGTGTGTAGCCAGAGGTCTTGATGAAAGGGTCTGGCAGGGGAGGCAGCAGGGAAAGGCTCAGCAGCGGCGAGCTGCCAAAGCTTTTGCGCGCTGCCTTCCCTCTGCCAGAGCCTTTCCCCGCTGCTGGAGCCTTTCCTTGTGGAGGGGAAATACTCCAGCAGCGGGGAGGCAGTGGAACACTACACTGCTAAAAATAGCAGTGTAGAGGGGCGGAGGTACTACTTGGGTGTGTAGAGTGCCACATCGGGGACATGACCAAAGGGTTCAGGTGTGTTTTTACTTGCCTAAGCAGTACCTCACCATCTACACTACTATTTATATCCATGCTAGCGGTGTGTATAGTGTCTGTATTCTACATGCCACCAAAAGGAGTGTGCAGTGTAGATGTATCCTAAGGGTTTTATAGTACAGCCCATCACCATAATATCTGAACATCTACATACAATCAATATCAATAGCCAGGACACAATGTACTTCATGAGGTCTCTGGCCCTTCTTCCTTTTCAGGTCAAAACTCTGTTTGGGATAGGTTGATTCTTTTTTTCTTTTTGGGTGGTGATGAAAGGCATTTGGAAATAAAAGAGTTGTTTGAACTATGAGCATCACTTATGTTGAAAAGGATTTCTCAAAGAGGAAGGCTTTGCAACATTTCCTAAAGATGGTCACACTCTAGATTCACCTGATTTCCTCAGGAAGATTGTTCCATAGCCAAATCCCTTCAACAGAGAATGCTTTGTCCCCAGCTCTCACATGCTTTATCCAGGGCTTTCAGATCTCATTGTCCCAGAGGAGCTCTGCTGGCACGGTGATTCATAGATCAAAAATTAGACTTTGATTTAGGTGGGCCTTGATCCATTAATTGCTTAGAAAATCAGGATGAAAGCATCAGAAACTAGTGTGATGGGCCACACTAAAAACTTGAAGAAACTTGAGCACAGGCTTGATGTGTTCATGATGGCCTGAGCCATGGAGAAGGTGGGCAGCCATATTCTGTACCAGCTACAGTCAGTGCATCATCTGCATATTCAGTTTCAGATATGAGTTACAGTAATCCAGTCTGGAGGTGACAAATGCATGGATCGGTATGTCCAGGTCCTTGTCTGCATGAGAGGGACAAAGTTTCATATCAACCTGGAGGTGAGAGAAGGCATTTTTGGAAACTGATGCTTCCTGGTCATCCAAGCTCAGTGAGGGGTCAAATAGGACCCTGAGGCTTCACATCACTTTGACGAATGAGGGCTGTGTCCTTTGATGGAAGGTGAAGACAATGTCTTGGCCAGCTCTTACAAGCTGTTCTTCTTTCTGATCAGTGCCACTTTGGTTTTACCTGGGTTCAGCTTGAATCAGCTGCTCTTCATCCAAGAGCTTATTTTCCATAAATGTTCTGACATTTAAAAAATGGTGGTGGTTGCATCAGTTGAGAATGAGATATATAGTTGAGTATCATTGGCATACTGTTGACAGCTAAGCCCGTAGCATCTCGCTCTCTCTCCCAGTGGTCTCATGTAGATATTGAAGAACTGGGGGGAAAGAAGGGATTGCTGCAGGATCCTTAGGTGAGGGTCTTCAGAGGGAGAAGAAATTACCCATCACTACTCTTTGAGTTCTTCTGGAGAGGAATTATTGGAGCCACTAGTGCTGGGTCATCTTCTGTGTCAAGTAGGAAAGTTAGTAGTACTTTCTGGTCCACGGCATCAAAGGCTGCAGAGAGGTCCAGCAGCATGAGCATGGAGATTTTACCTGTGACCATGATCATGAGGAGATTGTCTTCTAGTGCCACTAGAACCAGCTATGTGCTTTAGTATGAACACTGAGGCATCCAGGATGTTGACTGATGTCACATATTGTTGGAACTTAGTGGTTACTACTTTCTCAGTTATTTTGCCCAGGAACAGGAGGCTGGAGATGGGTTAGTAGATGGAGAGAAATTCAGGACTGAATGTTGGTTTCTTGAAGTTTGAGTTAACCATTGCATTTTTCACAAAGTCTGGTAGTTATGTTATTTTCTGAAAGAAGCACTGACTATTTCCTTTAGTAGTAGGCATAGTTCTTTGCTGGTTTTCACCAGCCAGGAGGGACATGGATCCATTTCACAGGTTCATAGCTCACACTTCTTTTTACCCACAAAAACTTATGCTGAAATAAATCTGTTAGTCTTTAAGGTGCCACCGGACTTCTCGTTTTTATCAGATAACTGAAATGTCTTCTCTTTATATTCTGCTATTTGTCCACCAGATGTTGCTGTATCCACAAAAATACATGAAAATTAACAAACTTTTGAAAACTATAATGTCTATACTTTTGTTACAGTTTGCTAATGATATCTGCCTGATCCTGGAAAGTCTTACACACTTGCTTAACTTTGTGCATTTTGAGTGGTCCATGAAGCAACTATGCACTTTAATTGAACATGTGTATAAATTTTTGCAGGATTGGGACCATATTTATTACACTTACTATTTATTTGCAAGGCTGCCACCTTGCAATTCTTACTCTACAATGCTGAGAGTATACATTCCTAGTGCTTAAAAAAATTTAGGCATGAGTTTCTCAAGCTCCTATAATGTGAGACTTAAGTTCTCTTCTTTTTAATGGATATAATTTTATTTACAATAATTACATATTTTAAAGTATTTTTCATTTCAGTGACACTAACAGCAAAAAGACATCATTACATTATACATACAAAACTATGAAATCTTCTCCCTCAGGGCAAAGTCATACCATCAATCAGAAAACAGTGTCTAAAATAGTGCCATTTTAGGAAAGCTATTTACATTCTAATTTGCCAGTTAGTATTTTTGAAATTAAAACATTTCCAAAATGTGCTAGCTATGATTGTTTAAAAATGTGTAATGGTTCATTTTCTTTATGGTAGTGGAAATAAATGGAGCCTTGGTATATGAAAATCTAGAAAACAAATCATAGATGGATTTTGTTACTGGCTTGGAATTTGCTGTATGTGCTTTTTTTTTTTTTTTTTTTAATAAAGATTCCTAAAGATTGAGATCATTTGCCGTCTCTCATGCAGATGGGGTATTTTCGCTGAGGTGTCATTTGCAAAATGGGCACCTTCATAGCTCAAGTTATAAAAAAAAATCCTTATGAACAACATGTCTCTAGGACATTTTGAAGTGATGGAAATAAAGAGATGAAGTTGTGCTTGCATGGATATATTCAAGTGCTTTAGATGCATATGCTAGAGATGGGCTTGAACCAAAATCCGAGATCTGAACATCCTTGAACTTTGGGATCTGAACTTTGTATAGGTCTAGGTCTATCTCTTTTATTTATAGTTAGAAAATGTGGAAATCTTCCAGGTTAAGGCAAACTCTAGTGGTGAATGAGCTCTCTTAATTGTGGAGTTGGCTCAGTTTCTCTTTCTTTACAGCTATGGGTGGCCCTCCTAAAATATCTCGCTCTTGGCAGATATAACAAGCTGCATAAAAGGTAGCTTGTGTGAGGTTTATATTTTGCTTGATAATTTGGAGGAGGGAAGTCTGATGTGAGGTGGAGCTCAGGCTGCCACCTTGCAATGCTTTGTTACAACATTCCAAAAGAGTTGTGTGATCATGCTGATGCATCGCCATAATATCATGATGCAAGTCATGATGTCAGAGCACAGCCCCTGGATGTCAAAATAGAGTCATTTTGGCCCACTATATTTTGAAAATGCTTTTATTGTAACTTCTCAATATTACAGATGCCTTGAAAATTGCCAGTTTTGTTAAATAAGAAGTTTAATTTCAGATTTTTACATGGACAAGTAAACATTCATAAACAAGCATTTTACAACTTTAGTCAATACATAATACAATATTTAGGATATCAGAAAAAATGTAAGAGCTAATAGTACATTTTTGCTTATTTGACAGATTTTGATCATAAAACTTCCGTGATGCCTAGGTGTCATAAATACAAAGGGAAGGGTAAACCCCTTTGAAATCCCTCCTGGCCAGGGGAAAGCTCCTCTCACCTGTAAAGGGTTAAGAAGCTAAAGGTAACCTCGCTGGCACCTGACCAAAATGACCAATGAGGAGACAAGATACTTTCAAAAGCTGGGAGGAGGGAGAGAAACAAAGGGTCTGTGTCTGTCTATATGCTGCTCTTTACGGGGATAGACTAGGAATGGAGTCTTAGAACTTTTAGTAAGTAATCTAGCTAGGTATGTGTTAGATTATGATTTCTTTAAATGGCTGAGAAAAGAATTGTGCTCAATAGAATAACTATTTCTGTCTGTGTATCTTTTTTGTAACTTAAGGTTTTGCCTAGAGGGGTTCTCTATGTTTTTGAATCTAATTACCCTGTAAGATATCTACCATCCTGATTTTACAGGGGGGATTTCTTTATTTCTATTTACTTCTATTTTTATTAAAAGTCTTCTTGTAAGAAACTGAATGCTTTTTCATTGTTCTCAGATCCAAGGGTTTGGGTCTGTGGTCACCTATGCAAATTGGTGAGGCTTTTTATCCAACATTTCCCAGGAAAGGGGGGGGTGCAAGTGTTGGGAGGATTGTTCATTGTTCTTAAGATTCTGGGTCTGTAGTCACCTAGGCAAATTGGTGAGGCTTTTTACCAAACCTTG